GATAAAATCCTACTCAAATCCCCACCTTTGTCTAGAGTAGGTAATGTTTACTACCTTTCCTTTTGTGCCTCCAGCATTTTCAGATGACTGTGTGGAGTTTCATCCTTATTGCCAGGTTTGAGCTGCACTCCTCATGGATCATATTTTATATCCATAAGTCTTCTGCAGCTTATGGAACATGAAAATATAATGGAGTAAATGTTTTTCCCAGGATACAATCCAATAACCAGGATGTGGTCCCAAATGACCGAAAAAGGAAAGCAGGAGACAAAATAAAAGTGAATTTTGTAATAGACCTTTGTGATATTCTTGGCAACTTGATTTAGTGGAAGTGAAAACTTTACTTGGGGTCAGGAGACCTTGGTTATAATCCTGGTGATACCATCTGTGTGATGTTGAGCATTCACCCATTTATTCATTTATTAGACACATATGTATGCCAGGTAGGTCTCAGGGTTACAAAGACAGAAATAAAATAATGCTTGCCCTCAAGGAGTTTATATTCTATTGGGATCTAATATTTATAGAGAATTTTTAAGTGCCTTACACATAACATCTCATCTGGTTTTCATAATGACTTACCCTGTAAAACAGGTGCTCATGTGCCATTGTACCAAAAAGAAATTGACATGGATAATCACACAACTAGAGAGTGTCAGAGTCACGATCCAGACCCAAAACTGCAAGTCTAGCACTCTACACTACACCACATTATCTCTTGAAGCAAGTCTGTTTAATCTCTATGAGCCTCAGTTTCTTCGTCTGTAAAATGGAGGTAATAAAACTTGTACTTCTCTAACTCATCATGTTGTTGCGAGGAAAATACTTTGTAAAACCAAAACACTCCACAGGAATGTCGCAGATTTTTTCAAGCACTGGTGATGAGGATTAGTAAAGAGGGAAAGAACCCAAGTTTTGACTACTCTGAGCCTCTTCCTGAGAGGCTGAGAATGGCTACTGATTCTCCTTCAAAAGTATGACGATAACCTATTTATATTAACATTCTCTTAGACCCTATTAGACCATAAAGGAACCCTGACTTAGGCATCCAGATTCAACCTTTAAGTCCTAGGTAATTACAGCAAACTTCATTAATTCAGACAAATTAGGCAGTAGTCAGGCTGACTGAGTGAGAAACCTGAATTATAGAGCAGAATTGTTGTTACTGAGTTATTTTCAGTCATGTCCGATTCTTCATGGCCCTATTTGGAGTTTTCTTGGCAAATATACTGAAGTGGTTTGCCGTTTCCTTCTCCAGCTCATTTTGCAGATGAAGAAATTGAGGCAAACAGGGTTAAGTGACTTGCCCAAGGTCATATAGCTAGTAAGTGTCTGAAGTCAGATTTGAACTCAGAAAAGATGAGCCTTCCTAACTCCAGGCTCAGTGCCTTATCCACTGTGCCACCTGTCTGTCCCACTGAGTATGATATATTATTCTCTATGTTACACAGGATGATATGTGTTACACCAAATTCATTATGGAGAAGATTATTAACCAAATCCCCTTTGCCTTTGCTCATGCTGACTTCTATGCGTGTAATGTTTTTTTCTGTCTATTGGATGCCCATCTTTCCTTTAAAACACAATTTAAATTCACCTCCTCCTAGACTTCCCCAAATTTCTTGACATTTCCCACTCTTTTTATACTTCTCCAGTACATTTACTTTGTCACATTTATGCATTATGTGTTATCGATATTTGTATCTTAATTACCTTCTTAGACTGTAAGCTCGGTGAGGACAGGGATTCATGTCTGATTTAAACTTTGCTTGTTTCTCAGCCCTTAGGACAAGTCCCTGCATTCATGGGCACTTAAGGTTTGGTGACTATTGAATTATTGAATTTCAAGAAATGCCATTCCTGATATCAAATAGCAGCTAAAAAGTTTCAAAAAGAGGTTTAATCAGGCCTATTTAAAGGATTATTTGTAGAGTACTTGAAAAGAGTTTTTCCTCTTAAGTATGGTTAACCTCCCTGGTAATAGTGCTACCACTATTCATTTAATTAGTGAACCTTCTCCTCATAGATAGTGCTTAGGGAAACTTTAGCCCAGCTGGGCGTCCAACAATCACAAATTAGTGGGGGTTGAGTTAATGAGGTTTAACTGTGTACACATTGAGATGTGAGGTCAGAATCTTCCTGCCTTTGCCTTTAACAACTGCTAGCAAGCAAAGCTTAGGGAAATCACTAGCCTCCGGCCCCAACAGCAAAGATAGCATTTCCACAGTGTCCTTGTCCCCTCTGCAAAGCACACTGAACTCGGCCAGGAGCTCAATAAATGGGAATTAAATTGAACAGATGAGGGTTTTTTTTTTAATGTCTGGTGTTTGAATCTCAGAAGGTCAGAGTTGAGATTGGATTCAAGAATTGCCCTTTGACCCTGAGTTTGCACTGACCTTTCTTCCCCTTCCCTGACTGTCTCATTTCTTGAATTCTTGAAAACCCAAGGTTTCAGCTGGAGTGAACAGGAGTGGGCCAGCTGTTCAATGTCTGATAGGACTTGGATTTTTTTAAAAATCTTTTTGTGTGTGTGTATGTTGAGGCAATATGAGTACAAAGAGTACCTAACTTGGAGTCGTGTGTAAAGTCTGGAATCCTTGAACCAAGGTACGGAATTCTTGCTCTGATTCCTGCTATGTCAGTCAGTTAATAAACATTTATTAAGTGCCTACTGTGTGCCAAGCACTGTACTGAGTGCTATAGGGCAAATCTCTGTTCTAGGCCTGGGATCTCAAATACACCCACAGAGGAAAGGTATAGAGTCTTGAACCGGTCTTTTAAGAATGAAGCCTGAGCATATTTAAATCATGATATTTTCATAAATTTCCTCTTCAGGTTAAAAGACCTTCTCTGGGGAAAGGTACCAAGCACAGCCTCAGCACATCCAGAGTTTGGGATGGGAGAAGGTTAGATAGTAGACACAACAAAATGATCCCTCTTCCCTTTGCTACTCCACCACCTGGTCAATCCACAGGCCGTACTCGAAGAAGTGCCACTTAGGAGTCTGACCCAGGGCAACTGCACCCTTTTACTTGCCCATGCCAAAGGCTTCCTTGGGTCAGTTCTGTCCTTTGAGACGTTGACCAAAGGCAACAGAGTTTACAGCCAATCTTACTGCCACTGACAATAGCAACTGGCCTCCCGTCACCTAAGAAGCAGCTAGGTGGCACAGTGGATAGAGGGCTGGCCCTGGAGTCAGGAAGACCTGAGGTCAAATATGGCCTCAGATACTTAGTAGCTGTATGACCCTAGGCAACTCATTTAACCTCTGTCTGCATCTGTCTCCTCATCTGTAAAATGGGGTTATGGATAATAATTACCTCCCAGGATTGTTGTGTGTAAACTCAAACGAGTTAATACTTGTAAAATGCTTAGCAGTGCCCGGCACTTAGTGTGCATTTAACAAATTCCTTCATTCCTTAAATGCCCCAGCTAAAGATCAAATTCATATGCTGTGATAAAGGTGACACAATTCTTTGTGATGCAGTTCACTGGCACCCTATAGGTGTGCTGGCTTCTCCGATTACAATGCTAATACTGTGAGCATCAATTTCCTCATCTTTAAAATGGGGACAAAAATACTTATGCTATGTACCTTACAGGTTTGTTAAGAGGAAAGCACTTTGTAAGCCTCAAGGCATTTAAAAACATTTTTACAGGTATTTATTTATCTTTCCCTCCCACTGTCTTCCCCACTGAACAATAAAAAAATAAAAAAGGAAAACACTCATAACAAATGTGGATGCTCCAGCAAAACAAATTCCCACAGTGGCCATGTCTGGAATATATTTCTCATTCTGCATCTTAATCCATCACTTCTTGGGTAGGAGGTTGGTAACTTGTTTCATCTTAATACCTCTAAATTCATGGCTTATCATTGCTCTTAAAGCACCCTGATCCTTAATTTCTTTTAGAGCTCAACCTAAATATTGCTTTCTCATGAGTCTTCTCTTGATGCTCATGTTGGCTGTTAGAACTTCATACTAAAAACAAACAAAAAAATCCCTTTTCGTATATCTTGCATATACTTATACACATACCTTTTGTTTCCCCTAAAAGAATATAAACTCCATGAGGGTAAGGACTGTTTTATTTTTGTTAAAAAAAATATTTCTAGCACATAGCAGTAGTTTCTCAAATCATATTAATTGGTTAACATAAATTCAAACTATTAGATAATGATGTTATTTCTATAGCCCATATTCTTTTGATACAAGTATAAGTGAACAAGTTTGAAGAATGTTAGCCTTAGAAGGGATATTCTATATCACCTAGTTCAACACCTATATTTTAAATATAAGGAGGGAAGATGTGATTTCCTGCTCTCCACCCTCACCCCTGACCCAGCTAGGCTAATATAATTACAAAATGTAGTTAAAAGTGATAAAGTTTTAAATGTACAAACAATTGATTTGTAGCTATGATCCCTAATGAGCCTCTTCGACTAGATCAAGAAGAGAGCAGTGATTGCCAGAGGTTCCCAAAGTGGTTGATACTGCCCCCTGGGGGGTACTGGAATGAGTCAGGGGGTGGTAGTAGCCTTGGGTGCAATTGGTGGACATTGAATAAAAATAAGAGAACAGTGGAAACATAAGGAAAGAAGAGAAGTAAATTTTGAAAAAAACATTTGTATGTGTTTCATCTGTTGTGTAACAGAGTTAAAGTCATAGTGATTATGTTATTTTCCAAATAAACACACAAAATGCAAGTTATAACCTATCGGTGGTCAAGTCCACACAAGCAAATGTTGGCAGGCCAGCATGTTGTGCATTGTTGGGAAGTCCAGCATACATCAGCAGGAATGTGTGTGTGTAATGAGTTGTTTATAATAAGATACTATACAGTTACATGATGCAATATTGTATCATCAAAATTTCAATTCAGGAAAAAACCCACAAATTTACAATAAGTTATTAAATTTCAGACATCATTTTAAAAAAATTATATTTTTTGAAATGATGAAAATTAAAAAAAACATTAAAAGGTTAAAGAATGTCGATTTCCAGGGGGGTGCTAAGTAATTTTTTTTAAAGGGTGTTCAGCCGAATACATTTGGGAACCTCTGATCTAACCAAATAAGCTAATCACACCTCTGGAGGCTTTAAATATCTGGAGAAATTTTACAAGTTCACCAGTCCAGGGATGATCTAGTCTAGTAGTGGAGAATTTAAGGACAGGAATTGAGGATTTCTATACAAGAGTTGGAGCCAAACCCTTAAGAGATTTCCTTCTTTGCTTCTGTCTCTCAGTGTCTTTGTCTCTGTTCTTCTCTCCCTTTCCATTCTCCTGTTCTCCTTCCGTCACCTCTTTCCCCGTTGGAGAGACTGAGTCAGTATTAGGCAATGTATCTAGCTAGGATCAGAAAGACATTCCAAGGAAAAAGGGATATGGAGAGATACTCACACAAGGGAAAGTACATGAAGACACTACAAAGAGAGAAGGAGAAAGGATTTCCAGTAATAGGAATGGTGAAGAAACAGCTTCAGAGTTTATGACCCCTCATGGCTGAATGAAGTGTTGGCTATGGACTCTAGAAAGGCACAGACTCTTGCAATACATCAGAGAGCTACACCTAAAGGGAACTTCATGACGTCTTTAAGAGGAAGGGAGAAAGGAGTTTTCAGTAACAGGAACTGTGGGTTATCCCTTTACCACATATGTTCCCTACAATGTGATTCTGCCATTGTATTCTAAGTTTGATCCCACTCTTTCTCATAGATACTTTGTGTATTTGTGAGAGAATTTGCTGTAGGCTTTTGGAAATAATGTTTTGTAGTAACTATTCTTACTATACATTCTTAGTAAATACCCTATCTAGAAGTTATTTAAGTCAACTGTCTGATTGTTAATGAGAAGCACACTGGTGGGGGCTTGTGAGCTATAGTCTTAGAAACATAACCCCTCAGAGTTACCCCAAGAACTCTGAAAGTAGTAGTCATTCTTCTGTATCCCTAACCTCAAGTATGGGCATGAATTGGGGACCTAATCCAGAGGGGGTACTACATAAAGATGGAGAAACTAAAGCCCAGAGAGTGGAAGGAACCTTTCTAAGATCACACCAGCATGTAGCAGATTCAGGATTTGATACAAATTATTCTGATTCCAAATCCAGTGTACTTTCATCATTCTATATAACCTCATCCTTTCATCTTGTATTTCTTCTTCCACTTTAACTTTGTTGATCTTCATTTTTCTATAACTATGCAGCAGAGAGAATTTTTAAAAAGTATTCTTGTGGGATTGTGTGGCAACAGGTAGACATTTTAGAGGTGTGAAGGTGTGTGAATAAAGCCCTACTCTGGTGCCTAATTGTGATGTGGGAAGTTATCCTGGATTCACAAAAGCTATCCCAGCAAACAGTGATCTCTTGCAGGTTCTCCAGCGCTGATTCTGGAGAGAATCATTGACAGTAGACTCACCACTTGGTGACAAATTCTTCCTCCTTGGTAACCCTCAAAAAAAAGAAAAAGAAAAAGAAAAATAGCCCTCAGTTCTAGGGTAGCTAGAACCTGGTAGCTCTTCTGCTTTTCTGCAGTGGCAGAGTGGACAAAAAGAGAGCAGAAGGTGATAATAATACATTTTTAGATCTTCTATAAGTATTCATTTTAATGTTGATATTCTATCAGATCCTAGTATAATGACCCATAAATCAACATTTTATAGGAGGAGATCAGCTGACCTGGTTTCAAAATTTATCTCTGACACATTGTGTGATCCTGGACAAATACTTTAACTTCTCTGAGTCTTGGTTTCTTCATTAGTAAAACTGGGATAAAACTATTTGTATTTACTTTGTGCTTTGGGGAGCGAGGAAAGTCTTTACTCTTTCTCTCTATTTGTTGGTGCTGTGTGATATTCTTCCTAGGAACCAAAAGAAAAATTGACATGTTAGTAGAGGAACTGAATCAGCAACATTGTATTTCAGTCCCTAAATCTTCCCAACTCTGAGACAATATTTATCTCTTTTAATTCAATCCTACAAATTGTTTGTTGGAACTCTAGCCCTCTATACAGAAATCTCCATATAGAAACTGTAAAACTATGTTTGTCTTAGCTATTCTTGTAGATTACTGTACTTGGTGATGCAGAGAGTTCCATTGAAACATTCCTCTTCTGAGAATGGAGCTTACTGTTTAGTAGGGATATAGGATATACTCAGTTCATAGCATCATTCTTCAAGAAAGGACTTTAGGGCCATTTGGTTGAACTTATTCCTTTTACACACAAGGAATGAGAAGCACAGAGAAGTTAAATGACTTACCTAACAGCACAAATAATAACCATCTCAGGCAATATTTGAACCCAGGTCCTCTGACACCATAGTCAACATAGTACCACAGTGCTACACTGCCACCATTATTTATTTCATAAATAGGGTTAGGGATGAGGAATAGACCTGTGATTTTATTGATATATAGAACTCCCACATGAGAAAATGTCCTCATAAATACATAAATACTTAAATAACTAATACAAGATAATCATGATAAGTGCATTATGGAAGTGTAAGCCAAATACTAGGAGAGGTCTAAGAAGGGAAAAGTTCACCTCTGCCTGGTGGGATCAAGGAGAGATATTTAACATTGGAGACATTTGAATTGAGCTTTAAAGGATGGGTGTATAGAGGATAGGAGGGCATTCCAGGTATAGAGAAAGCTATAAATTAATTCCAAGATTCCATCCTATTTTAGATAATTGAATATTAAGTTGATTTTCTGCCTAAACTGAGGGGTAAGATGAGAGTTTTATTGTACTTAAAAGTCTTGTGCACAGAGATACGCAGAGCTAGATCTGTGTAGAGGTACACTAATAGGGAGAAGGGAGAGAGGGAGGGGAAGGGGAGATGATGTTGAGTGGCATCAGTGGTGGGAGGCTTATTCCTGAAGAGGCTGCAATGGACACCCATCCCTCCCTTGGGCAGACTCAGGCTGGCTTCTTCCTAGACTTAACGCTTGGATGGTTAAATAAATCAAATAGGGAAGAATGGGCATTGGATAAAAATGGCAAAATGACACTCTTGCCAATTCCCTAATAAAATTACAGGCTCAATAAACAGGATGCAACTACATCATGGAGCCCTGAGTCAGAAGTACTTCCTCAGCACCGATGGGCTGCCAGGAAACATAGACTTTCAGCTCATCACTGACACATTCATTTCACTCTCTGCTGTGGGCTGATAGAGTCAAAGCAAAGCTGTTAAATTGCCCAGGGCCTCTGAACACTTCATCTAGGGGCAGGAAACCAGAAGGCTGCTCAGCTGATGTGGTTCTGAAGGACAGTGCTAGCTGGCGCTGACTTCTCAGTTTCATCACTGCTTTTTCTCTATACTGATACCAGTTATGTAGGAGATACTGAACTAGCATGAACCATGAACTCAGAGTTCGAGCCTAACCCCTTTATCCCCCCACAAGGATGATATAAGAGTAAGGATGAGCTCAAAGCCCCTTTAGACTTTAGCTAGTTGTAGGTATATATGAAAGACAGGAAGACAGGCAAGAAGGAAGATAGGAAGGGAGGGAGAGAGGAAGGAAGAAAGGAAAGAAGGAAAGACATTAAATATCTTTGATGTGCCAGGTACTATGACAAGTACTTTAAAAATATCTCATTTGATCCTCACAACAACCCTGGGAGGTAAATACTATTATTGTTGTTCAGTCATATCTGGCTTTTTGTGACCCCACTTGGGGTTTTCTTGGCAAAGATACCACAGTAGTTTTGCCATTTCCTTCTCCAGCTCATTTTACACAGGAGGAAACTGAGCCAAACAGGGTTAAATGACTTGCCCAGGGTCACACAGCTAGTAAGTGTCTGAGGCCAGAGTTGAACTCAGGTCCTCTTGAATCCAGGACCAGTACTCTATCCACTCAACCATCTGCCTGCCCTTATGGCCTGATTTGAAGTCAGGGAGATGAGTCTTCCTGACTTGAGGCCTGGCACTCTATCTATTGTGTCGCCTAGCTGCCCCAGGTACTATTCTTATTCCTACTTTAAAGTTGAGGAAACTGAGGCAAATAGAAGTAACTTGACCAGGATCACACAGCAAATATGTCTGAGACTGTGGCTAAGCAGAAAGGAGGGACCTTTCTTCTGAGTTTAGCTTTAACGTTGTACATTTCCTCCTCTCATTCACCTACATGAGAGAGCAGAAGGGTTTTCAAGTTTTAAAAAACTAGTGAGCCCCTGAATTCCTTGGCATTTATCCCTTAGATGAACAATGACCAGGTGTGTCTTATCTATACAGATTAAAATCAGGAGGTACGTGGAATGCTCACCATGAGCTAGATTGAGGTCAACCTTGTAGACACAAATTCATTCACCAGGAATTTGGTTCATAGAAAAGATAAAACCTGAGCATGTTAGGGAACTGGGAAGTCTTGGCTCTATATCCTAATGAACTTGCTATCTGGGACAAAAACTCTTTTTCTGCAGATAAAAGACCTTCTAGCCAATACTCTAGAAAGGACAGACATAAAAGGAGAAAATCCCATAAAAGGAGAAAAAGAAAAACCTAGAAGGTTGTACTCCTCCTGGCACTATTGCTGACCCTATGGCTGAGGCAAAGGGGGATGCTATTAAAATGGTTTTGGTTTTTGAACTAAAAGATTATGGCACTCTTATCATGAAGAAGAGCCAAGGATTTCATCTGAAACTGGAAGCAAAGAGATGTCGCATAACCACACACCAGAGAGGCCACATGTGTGCCTGGTGGCATCTGGCAGAGACCATGTGGAGCAGCACCTTACAGAAACTATAAATGGAGGGGAGACAAGTGAGGACCAGAACAGCTAGGCACAGTGCAATGGCATTATTAGAAGGCAGAAGTGCCATAAATGGGAGTCACTTCAACATGTATGACTACTAGGTGATGTAATGGATAGAGCACTGTCTCTGGATTCAGTACAACCTGAGTTCAAATCCAGCCTCACACACTTATTTGCTGTGTGATGCTGGATAAGTCACTTAATCTCTGTTTGCCTCAGTTTCCTCAACTAGAAAACAGGGATAATCACAACACCTACAACACTCTCAGGCTAATTGTTAGGATTAAAAGAGATAATATTTGTAAAAAGTTCTTGACGCATAATTGTTGTTATTATTTGTCCTTCGTTTTCAAAGGGGATCAATGACATCATAGGATGATGTCTTGACTTGTGAGCAGAGTTGCACAAAATAGTCACTTCACTCTCTCTTCCAGAGTCATCGAAGTCCAGCGGCAAGACAAAAGTTAAGATGACTGGCCCACGATGCAGTGAACGACCTTGGCATCTTTGATGTCTAACCAAGCTCTAAGTGTTCCACTACACCTGCTCCATCTGTCTTCTTGGCCATTGGAACAAATTGTTCTCATCTGCCCATTCCTGCTTGGGAAATCTTCATATTCTTTTTTTTTTGGCTAGCAATTGGGGTTAAATGACTTGCCCAGGGTCACACAGCTAGTAAATGCTATGTGTCTGAGGTCGGATTTGAACTCAGGTCCTCCTGAATCCAGGGCTGCTGCTCTATCCACTGTGCCATCTAGCTGCCCTGAAATCTTCATATTCTTAGGGTAGACACCCATGCCCCCCCAACTCACTGACAGGTTTGAGGCCCGTCAGTTACCCTCAACCTGGTTTAACCCATCTGCCAAGAAGATTTTATCAGAGTGTGGCCTCTGTGCATGCTATAACTGCTTGGAGCCTCAGGTGAGAGTTGGGTGCCAGGTGGACCCAAAGGTAGATGAGCAACCCTCACATCAGAGGTGCTAATCCTCTTTGAACATAGTAGGTACTATAGAAATATTTATTCTCTTCCTTTCCCTTCTTTCCTGTACCCTGGCCACATATGTTCCACACATTTATGCATATATGTATATGTACATATATGTATATATATTATGTCATATACATATTTCACTGTTCTGGAAGGAAACATTTTGTTGCTATTTAAAGGCATCTTCTGGGGGTTTGCGAACTGTAGTTTTAGTTGAAGTGCACCCCACAGAACACCCTGAACCTGGAGTTAGGTACCCTTTGCTGGAGGTCCTACCCTGTGAGTTGGAATGGAGATAGGGAATGCATAAGGATGGATCACCCAAGGTTGACAATGGACATCCTTCTCTGCCATATCTCATAGCCTCTACTCATTTCTCCCCATACTTACTTTACTAATGCCCCAATCTATTTGTACCAGCTAACATATTTTGCTCACCTTGTATATTTCTCTCCTCCCCTAAAGGCTGGCCCCTAACACTACCAAAAACAGAGCCATATCTAGAAATTTTAGCATCTAGAACAAATTCATTTGAGCTAGGGGTTTAAGATATGGCCATTACTGTGGGGTGTTGTTCAATTGTTTTCAGTCTTGTCTCACTCTTCGTGACCCCATTTGGAGTTTTCTTGGCAGAGATACTGGACTGATTCGCTGTTTCCTTCTCCAGCTACAGGATGGGGAAACTGAGGCAAACAAGGTGAAATGACTTGCCCAGAGTCTCACAGCTAGTAAGTGTCTGAGGTCAGATTTGAATTCTTGTCTTCCTGACTTCAAACTCGGCCCTTTATCCACTGTGCCACCTAGCTGCTCTGAAATTCATTTGAGCTAGTGGTTTAAGGTATGAACATTACTGTGTATTGTTGAGGTACCTTGGAGAAAGAGGTTATAGGGGGGAAAAGTTGAATAAAGAGGAGGTTAGAGATGTAATGGAGAAGCTTTCAAGCCAGGTACTAAAATTATTGGAGAGTGGCCTGGAAGTGTTTGCCAACAAGAAGGATCTTGATAGGATACAGCGGGACTTTAAAGGAGGAGAGGCTGCTGCTGAGCGGTGGTGGCACAAGGAGGGTGTAAGGTTGAGGTGAACCTTGGACCCAGCCAATCCAGCTGCTTAG